TAAGCAGTCCGTGTTACCGCTGGTACACAAAGCAGTGTGGCTACAGTGACTGAAAGAGAGAAGGGAATGTATTGGAAGGCATTTTGTGAATTGTAAAGTGCTGAGTAGATGTGGGATGGGGTTAAACCCCAAATATTCACTTAACCACTCTCAGCCTCTCAGTAACTCACCAAGAACGGTGTGTTGGACAATCATGGCTAAGGAGAACCATGTTTCCTCCTGAGCCTGGCCCTGGAGCTCGGTCTGTAGGGGCCATAAAGGCAAGTGGCTGCACAGGTGCTGGTGGCCAGCCTCATCTCCCCAGCTCTCTGGACTCCCAGCCTCCCATGCCATCTCGAGGAATCATCTGCTGGGGGCCTCCTAGGTAATTCAGCCCAGGCTTAGGGAACCCTGGAGCTGTGGGGTAGATGGCAGAGCCCAAGTGTCCAGGATCTGATCACAGTGTGTCAGAGCCGGATGCTGCTGGAATTCTCCCATTCCCAAGTGGGATGCCGGGCGTGGATAGAGACAGAGCAAGCTTCTAGACACAGGCACGGCGCCCACAAGTGGGAGGCCTTAGGCTGACCTCACCCCCACCCAAGGGAAGACAGAGGAACAGTGTGTGGATGGAAGATTCCAGGGAGACAACCAGAGCAGAAGGGAAATGATCTGGTCCAGGGAGGGGGCAGTGAGGGAGGCTGGGGAGGGGAGGGCGAGGAACGGCACAAGGTGCGAAGACACACCCAGAGCGGGTGCCGAGGGGCCCGGGGGGAGGGTTGCAATGGAAGCAAAGGGAAACAGAGCCTGGGGAGGCAAAGGCTGTGACAGAGGGGCTCTGGGAGAGGGTGACTTCTCTCGGATCCAGAGGAGAATGAGAGGGGAGCAGCCCCTCAGTCAGCCCCCGGGAGAGCTGGAGCTCAGAGAAAGGTAGGAGGGGCAGGCGTCTTACTCATTTCGTGGCGGCGGGACATGGAGTAGCCCAACCTCCGGACACCGCTGGGGTATGCGGGTGGGGGGTCTGATTCAGTGGCGGGAAGGATGGACTCAGCCACAGGAAAAGTCCCGCTGGGTGGATGGAAAGTCAGCCAGAGAAGAAAGGTGAGAGGCAGCAGGTTTGGTTCAAGAAAAATCGATCAGGGTTGCCAGGCAGATGGAGCACAGAAACAGCTAAGGGGCCTCTAGGAAGAGCATCAGATAAAGGGGGTTCATCAGAGTGGGTGGGGGCAACTTCGGGGCTCCCTGCTCCAGGCCGAGGGTCAGAGGCCACACTTGAGGCTCTGGGAAGACTGGTGAGAGCAGAGCAGGCCCAGTGTCACAGGAACAGGGCCCTGGGCAGGCCGGCAAGAGGGACCTAGAACCGGAGTCGCAAAGCAAAGAGGAGGCCTGGCCACACAGCCAGCCCAGAGTCATTATCAGAGCTGCGAGCCTGGTCAGGGTGGGACCCGCGCTGATGGACGAGTTGACTGAGATCACTTGGGCCTGACAGCCAGCCTGGGGCCCCGACATGGGATTCCCTGGGGCCCTGACCGAGGGAAGCCCTCAGGACGTCTGGTGGAAGCCCTTCCAGGCCAGCCCGCATTATTAGGTTCAACCAACTAATAAACAGATGAGAGGTCTCTGCTCTTGAACCAGCAGAGGCGAATGGGAGAGGCCACTATTTAGGAAGATAGTGGTCACACCGCTGCCTTCCTGCTGCTTCTCATGAGCCCCAAGAACCGAGAGCTCTCCAGCCCGCTGGCCTTCCCAAAGGGCGCTCCTGCGGTGACCCGTGCGTGGTGAGCAGACACCCCTGATTTACAGGGTTTGCGGGGAATTCTCAACACTCCCTCAAGTTGCTAAAACAGAGTTCCTCAGAAACATTCAAGAGTTAAGGAAACCTACACGGCACCACAGAGAAAACCGGAAGCTTTCCGAACAGGCCTAGAGCCCCTTCCTCTCCTCTGGGCCCTGGGGGCTTCACTCCGACGCTCACTCGTGCCTTCCAGACCCACCAGTGCACAGTTCATGCCTCTTCCAGGCACTGCCTCTGGCCGCCCACTCCCTGCACACACACTCCCCTCAATTTCAGGGAAGCAGGAACTACGAGCAAAGGAAGGGAGGGGGGAGAGGCAGTAAGGATGCTACTCACCGCCTCCCCTCCGGCCCCCAGCACCAGCAGGCAGAGGGGCAAGGGGCCCCGGCATCAAGGCAGTCATTCCTGCGGTCCCGCATTCACTCCTCTGCCCTCTGCCCGAGCCCTGGGCCCCCGCCAAGCCCACTCTGCAGCAGTTCTGGAAGTTCTGAGTTGGAATCCCTGATGCATCGGCACCTCGGAGATGGGATCTGCAGCTCCTCACAGGTGACATCCTACATCAGGCCACAAAAGATTAACAGAGGGCTTCCCCGGTGGCACAGTGGTTGAGAGTCCGCCTGCCGATGCAGGGGACACAGGTTCGTGCCCCGGTCCGGGAGGATCCCACATGCCGCGGAGCGGCTGGGCCCGTGAGCCATGGCCGCGGAGCCTGCGCGTCCGGAGCCTGTGCTCCGCAGCGGGAG